AAAAGAAAAAAAAAATTGCCGTGACCCCCCCCCCCCCCCCCCCCCACGGAGGCGTAGGGGGGCCGGGGATATTTTTCTCCCCCCCCCCCCGCCCCGGGGGGGTTTTCCCCTTGTCCGGCACAAAAACATCAGATTTGTGTTGTTGGGTGAGTAAAGCGCGTCCCTTTCCCCCCTCCCCTGGGGGGGCCCCCCCCCCGGGAAAAGAGACAAAATATATTGTTCTCTCGCGCGGCGCTGCAGCTATTCTCTATCCCCCCGCCGTGGGACCTTCCCCGAGTCCTCTCCGAGCCTTCCCGCAAGCGCGCTGCTGCAGCACCAGCCGCACGACGAGCTGGGGATCGCCTCCACGCGGCGATGGTTAGCTCGTCGTGCGGCTGGTGCTGCAGCAGCGCGCCTGCAGGAAGGCTCCGAGAAGGCTCGGGGAAGGTGCCACGGCGGGCGGGTCGAGAGAGGCTGCAGCAGCGCGCCCGAGGGCGACCAGAGCTTGACGCCGTTCTCGACGCGGAGGCGCGGCCACAGCACGGCGGTGAGGAAGGCGCGCGAGTCGGGCGACCACTCGAACGCGACCGTCATGTGGGCGTCGACTGTCGAGAGGCACCTGGTGCACACCCGGCGGGGCGGTGGAGATGCGCCGCTCTCCCACGCCGCTCTGGCGCCGCCTGGGCGGCCGGGGTGCGGGGGAGGCACCGGAGCGTCTTTCGGTCCCAAAAGGAGAGCTCGCCGCCCAGGTTGCCGAAGCCGGCGAGAATGAAGGAGCGGCCTAGTGGAGAGGGTTCCGAGGCGGCTCCGAGCCGGTTCCGAGAAGTTTCCGACTCGTGCGCGGAAGCGAGGAGCGGCCGTGCGGCGCCCAGCAGACAGTGTTGCGCGCGTCGTCGCCAAAGTCGTGCAGCACCTTGTGGCCCTTGCCGCCGGAGAAGAGGCACGCGCGCGGCGGCGAGAAGCCAAACAAGGCCAGAAACTCGCTCGAGTCGGGCGCCTGCAGGGAGGGGGCAACGCCTCGGAGCAAGGACTGCGAGGGGGGGGGAGGAGCGCGCGCGAGCTTCGGCGCCCACTGCACGTCGTGGATCGGGCCCTCCTTTGGCAGCCTCATCACAGACGCGTCGCCTGCAGGAAGGGTCCGGGAAGGGTCCGAGAAGGGTCCGAGCAGGCTCAGGCAGCAGTCGAGCCGCATCGGCGGCAAGTCACCGGACGCGTCCATGTGCATGAGGCCCGAGGCGCCGTCGTACGACTTGCCGCCCGTGTCGACGTCGACGTGCGTCCGCACCAGCAGCGCCTGCCCGTCCGGAGAGAACTTGAGCTGCGCCTCGGCCGCCTGCAGGACAGTTCCGAGAAGGTTCCGAACAGGCGCCGAGGTGGGGCGCGGGCCTCTCCGCCGCCCGGCTCCCGCCTTGAAGAAGGTCTTGGAGGCGAGGAAGCGGCCCTCGCCGTAGTCGCCGTGCCGCCAGAGCCGCACCGTCGCCGGCGCGCCCTTCCCTTCCGGCACAAACGTCGCGACCAGCGGCGGCGAGCCCGCCGGCGCGATGGCAAAGTTTGAGACGCCGGGCACGCGCAGCCGCTGCGCGACGGTCTGCGAGGGGGCGGCGCCGTCGAAGCAGTGCACCTGCGGGGAGGCGGGCGCCGGCCGGGTTGGGGAAGGGCGAGGAAGCTTCGAGGAAGCTTCGAGGCTCCGGCCGGCAGACGCGCCTCGTTGCTGACGGCTCGCGCAAAGAAGGACTCGTCCGCCGCCCAGCGGAGCGCCGGCCACTGCCACTTCTCACCGAGCAGCTTCTGCGCCCAGCCGCACACGAAGGCTCCGTCCGCCGTCCGCCAGAGCCGCAGGTTCTCTGCGACGCCTTCGGAGAGCTTCTCCCACGTCAGGAGGTACGTCCCGCGCGGCGAGAAGGCGAGCGCACGCACGCTCGGCCGAGGCAGCGAGAAGGCCTCCTCGCCGCTGCTCAGGTCCACCACGCGCAGCGCCTCCGCCTCGACGACCGCGAGCCACTTGCCGTCGGGCGACAGCTCCGCGCCCGGACGTCCAGACGTCCAAACCTCGTCGATCGGCGCGCAGCGGACGGCATCGCGAGCCGCGCCGCCCGCGGGCGACTGCAGCTGCGCCTTGGCCTTGCTCTTGAGGAACAGGTCGCAGCTGGTCGTATTAGCCTCGGGCATGATGGAGGCAGGCAGGCAGAGAGGGAGGCAGTGTCGATGTTGCACACGCGTCGCTCGGGCCTCTCGAAAAAGAATTTTACAAGGGGCTAGGGCTCTCTAGCCCGTAACCCGATGCCAATCATCCGGCCCGCTGGGTGCGCTTCTGAGCTCCCCGGCCCTGGATGTGCGGTTGATGACTGCACTCCAAGTGCTCCAAGGGACTCGCAAGCGACGCCTGGGAGGGCGGCGAGGCACTTAGCTCCGTGCACCCATGGTCCGCACCGCCGTTCTCAAGCTGCGCCGCCTCGCGCGCAAAGTCGCGCGCGGCAGCGTCGACCGCACGGCCTACTCGCCCAAGTACTCGCTCTCTTTTATGTCCCACCATGCAGAGCGCATCTCTCTCTCTGTTGTGCGAGGCGTGAACCGCGCCATTCGCTCTCACCTGGCAACCCTGTCTGCACGTCTCGCGCGCGCGTGAACAGGGCTCCAGGCCCCAAATGACGCGTGAGTGTTAGATTTGTTTGGTATTGCTAAAAATCTCTCTCCCCCCCGGCGCCACAGGCAAGCTCATTCACAATCTGCTCTGCGCGATTGCCGTATATGAAGAACGACCGAGATACGCTGCTTCTGCAGCCCCAGGCTAGTTCCATTTCACTGGGACACAGCTCGCGTTACAAAACCTTGATTTGACCATTTGCGCCATTTTGTCCCTCTCGGTGCCTTCC